AAAATGTGTCTGACATTATAAATACAATCGTTCCATTTAACTTCTTGTTCAGCAATCTGATATCAAGACGATTCAGGCACTCAGTTAATAAGATACACCGCTGTGTCAAACACAAAGGTCCAATACGACTTGGGCATAGAGGCATGTTACATGAGTCTCAGAAATATTTAGATTACAGCACTCAACAATACTATTATGCTCAGATGTATGTGGAGGACTTGTCATAAATGAAATATTGTGTGTAGAAAGAAAGGTCAAAAGACCTATAAATCCACCTTTGTTATTGGTGTACAGAATTTTAAGCTTACGTGGCAATCGATTTTCAATCAATAATTTGAACTTAGAACAAAAATCAAAAACTTGCGTTTTTATTTGAAGGGATACAACTAAGTATATCGAGTAAAAATAATCAACAAAAAATTAGATGTTTCCTCTATTTTATAAAAGGTGTTATTTTGACAATTTTTTTTTGTCAATAGCCTCAAATCCTAGAAATATCATGCTGCATTTTTCAAACATATTAATAAAAACTTATAAATCTCTATTGTGTCATTTGTTAATACACTAAATCAATTTCTCTCTTTAATTAATAAGTTAAAACAATAGAAAAAATACTGAAATTTAGTTTAAATTACATTATAAAATATAAAATGAGATTGTTGTAAAACAAAATAAAGTATCAAATTGAAACTTTTTATGAAATGGAATGAGTAATGCTTAAAATCATCTATAAAAATATTGGATATCCCCAGATGAGAAGACTTGAGAGTTCAATTTGTACAAGACAACTTATGCATATAATTGAACATGGTGTGCTAATAAAACTTTGGAAGCAAAAGGTAATCAAAATCTGAAACAACTCTTTGCAGAATAGATAAAGCTGGATAAGTCAAACGAGAATGTCAATCCAACAAAGTATGTTTAACAACGGAAGCAAAAACAAGAGAAAGAGGTTTGGTATTGGAGATTTTCGACCACTCATAAGTGTCATTGGTAGGTTTACCTTCTAGACAAAGAGTCCTGTTTGCTAATCTCTCACCTCAAAATATGTTGTAGGAAAGATAACAGTATCATCATTAGATTTGCACAATTAAAAATCAGAGATCAAATTTTTATCAAAAGAAGGAACAAAAAAACATAACTGAGAAAAAAAGTGTTTAGTATAAAAAGGAAAAGAAAAATAACTAGTGTACAAAATTTGCAAGGCAGAGCTATTTCCTAGGAGAACATCATCAACTCTAGTGTAGGGATTGTGAAGTGAGAGGTTAGTCAAATCAGATGCCTTGTGGTGAGACGCACCAGAGTCAACAAGACTGGCCCAGGAATCTGATATCATCACCACATTTACGCAAGGCTTCCATGAAACTTGGTGATGTGGCAAAGTTGCCAAGATTGTGGATGTGGAGATGGCCATTGGGAGGCTACCGCCTTTCACAATACAGTACTCGGTGCAGTACTAACACTGTGACCTTGTATCTCACAAGTTTGGCATCGACAATGATAAAGCTTGGAGAAGCAATCTCAAGGATTGGTACTTGGGGAACTCTGAGATTGAGAATTGTTGTAGTTGTTGCGATTCTGTTGTCATGGGCGAGTGTTAGTAGAATGAGCGACAATTGGAGCAACATTAGTAGTGTCAATGAAGAGGATCACATTGCCTTACAGTTCAGAAGCCGTTTGTGTAGTTCAGAGAAAGAGATGGGATCATCACGACCATTCACGGCATCGATCTCTGGTTTGTAGTCTGTAAGAGGCCACTAAGAATTTGTTCGGTGAGCTCCTCTAGATCCATTGGTTAGAAAATTAAACTACACTTTATGTTAACATCATATAATATATAAAAGTTGATGGCATAGTGCATTGAGGACGTCTACATAGGACGAAAAAATTCGATCTAATTGGTCTACATCAGCATATTCATTAAATAAAAAATGTTAATTATGATTAGGACGGAAAACTTGATTTAATTGGTCCACATCAGCTTTTAAATCAAACCAAAAATTATTAAGTATAATTAAAACATTAAAATCATATAATATATAAAAGTTGATGGCATAGTGCATTGAGGACGTCCACATAGGACGAAAAGACTCGATCTAATTGATCAACATCAGCATATTCATTAGATAAAAAATGTTAAGTATAATTAGGACAGAAAACTTGATTTAATTAGTCCACATCAGCTTTTAAATCAAACCAAAAATTATTAAGTATAATTAAAACATTAAAAGTTAATTTAACAAATTATGCCCAAAAAAGAAATATTAAATTCAATCTGATTGATCCAAACCAACATATTTATTAAATCAGAAAATGTTAATATGGTTTAAAATTTTAAAAGTTAAAAAAAAATTAACAATTAACAATACATGTATAAAAAAATAACCATTATCAATTATCAATTTTAAAAAATCTACAACAACTCGATTTAACAATTAAAACAATGAAAACTGAATAAAAATTTAACATAAAACTCTTGGAAGATATATTAAAAAAGACTTTGATTACTAGACTAATTATATGATATGCCATTGTTTTTGAGGTCTCTAAATATGTCATGTTTTATTTTTTTAAATGAATTCAAATACAACAATATTAGAATTAATAATTTAATAAAATAATATTTATTTAATTCTAATTATAATATACGCGAAATTTATTATATAATAATTTAAAATAATTATCCATATATATTTTATTATAAATTCATATAATATTTTTCAATGTTTACTATTTTTATCATTCATTGTAAAATATATGATAAAGTAATGTTTACTACTTTTAAAAAATATATGTTTATTGATTATTCATAAAAAAAAATATTCTTATAAAAACAACTGAAAATTTAAAAATAATATTTTATTTTCCTCAAATTCATAATAAAATATATGACACTTTACTAATGTTTACTACTTTATTAGAAAATATATTTATTAATGGTTTATTAAAAATATTCTTATAAATACAACAGAGTAATTAAATATAATATTTTATAACAAATAAAACAAAGGCGTAATAATTTTATTCACATATTATTTTAATTATAGCATGCATGAAAATAATTATGAAAACATATATAATACTTCAAGCTAAATATTTGTAAGTTTATATCTTTTAACAATTCATAATAATATATACAAAAATATATTAAAAATATATGTTATTTCCGTCAGAAGCATCAATTAAAAGAAAAAAGTCATAATGACAAATTTCTAAAATTATTATGATATATATTATTAATATTCGGATTTACTATATAAGGAAATATAATATATTATATTATGGTTTAATTTATATATGACTTTTAGATGAAAAATATGGTATATAGCATTATTGGTTACAGGTAAGATAATATCAATATTAATTATTTATTTTTTAATTAATATTTGATTTATCATATGCAATATCAAGTTTTCAGCAAGATTTGTTCGTATTTTTTTTTATTCGTTTGTCGGCTTTAAATGAATCAATTTAAGTACTGTAATTTTTTAATAAAATGATAATATTGTGATTTCAGTATTTTATTAATTTATAGAATTATAAATTTATCAGTTTGGAAATAAATAAATTATTTATTAATAATTAATTAAAAATTAAAAGTTAATGATATCTTTAAATATTTCACTTCTAAATTTTAGATAAACCATAACATTATTTCAATTTTAAGAAAAATAAACCATTATGTATTCATATTCTAGTAAATTATCATAGTTATATGCTTATATAAAATTATTTTATGGTAATTATTAACTTATGATATTAATGGAAACCATATATTTATATAGATTTTCCTTTAAAAAAATAATCTTATCTATTTGTATCATCTTTTGAACAAGACCAATTTGGAACTAGGAAAATTTATTAATTTATTTAAGTAATAATATTTACTAGATAAGTAAAAAACTATTTAACTAATAATATTTAATTACTTAAAAGTTAAAACTAATTAAATATGTATATAAATATCGGTGAAAATAATGAATCATATCATCAATTACGAGATATAGAGAATCTGTATGGTAACTTCATATTTTTACCCAGCTATATCATGTGTTATGCATGATACTTAATTTTTAAATTAATTTAAATTAATTTACATTACAATTAAATTATCTTATATTTCATAAAAAATCAAAAAACTACATTATCAATGTTATAGTATAATATTATATAAGATTTATCTAAATATAATTATATTATATTATATAATTTTTAAATTATATTAAATATAAATAAATAATAATTATTTCACCCTGCACAGGGTGCGGATTATTACCTAGTATATGAATATTTGGTGGCATTTGTAATTAATCCATCCAAGAAGATCGAAGTCGATAAAAGAAGAAACCATATAAGAGTGTTTGTACTAATCCCTTTCCTAATACAAAAATGCTTTTCTTGCTCCGAGTTGTCTAATTCCCATTTTTTTTTTGACAGAGTTATCTAATTCCTATCTAAAATCTTTTTTTTTTTAAAAAAAAAATTATATGTATTTTGAAAAAAAAATCCTATCTAAAATCTTAATCACACGAAAAATAATTTTTCCTACATAGTTCAAGTTACTGGCGCAGTTCACGATCGAGAATGATAATCTGCTTGGTATGTTTGACAAAGTTGAATCGTAAATTGCTATTACATGAACTTTTGATGGAAAAAAAATAATGGAACAGGAAAAACTCATAATTCATAACACGAAATGGAAATGACAAAGAATGTCAAAAAAAAAAAATGTAATAACAAAGAAACTAAATTAAATATAGAAAAAATCGTAAAGTTCCAAAATATCAAAAAGGAAATAACAACAAGTAGTAAAACGAGTCGAAAAGGAGCACAAAATAAGGATTGCATCATCAAGCTTCCCATAAATAAAGCTTGATGATAATTGGAAAACAAACACAACTTAAAGGAAAATAAAAACTATAGACAGTTCGGTAGGATTGCTTGCAGCCCATCCAAGACTACAAGCTTTCGTTCTCTCTAAGAATACAAAAACTTTAAAGATCGTCAGAAGTTCTAACTAACTTCAAGATGATTCTCGGGTCTTTTCGTTTCCTAAGTGTTCGTTGCTCTAGAAGCCGGAGCAGTTTACCGGGAGCGCTAAAACCGGGAATCACCACCTGCTTTCGCAGCTGTTCTTCTGTGAGCGTTCCGGCCGCGGAAAACGCGAAGGATTCCGTTATTGATTTGGCACTGAACTCGGTGGTGATAATATTTTGCCAATCTGCCAAGTCTAGCGTTTTACAACCTTGGCAAAAAAGACTACCGCAACTAAAAACTGGCTCTGGTACTTACTCGACGATAGTGACATATGTCAAATATCTCTCCTTTGTGATTTTTATTTGGTATATTTTTAAAACTATCATATGAAGGAATAACGCTTCCGTATTGATGCATGTTGAATTAGGGTAATTATAAAATATAAATGTTATAATGTTGAAGTAAACAAAATTTTCATGTTTGATCTTGTTTTCGGTATTTTTGCCGAAGGCGACATTCGAAAAACCCTAGCCTTTCATATTACTACTTTATCTTATACGCTTCTGTCATGCTACCTGTGTGTTTGTGTGTGTGTTCTTGGTTACTAATTAGGTTGTTACATACCCGATACACTTGTCTGTTTGTTTTCTTTTTGTAGTATATATCAAAATATTCATATGAAGGAACAATGCTTACGTATTGATTGCATGTTGAATTAGGGTAATTATTAATTATTTTGTCTTTTTTTAACTTTTATTATATATTTTGTTACGTATACTTGTCTGTTTTTTTCTTCTTGGTATTGTTTAATTCATGTCTTGACTTATAATTGATATAGAATTTGTAATCTCAAGAAATAAGATTCTTACGAACGCTCATGTAGTGTCTGACCACACATTCGTGCAAGTCAGAAAGCATGGTTCACCAACAAAGTACAAAGCAAAAGTTGAAGCAGTTGGTCATGACTGTGATTTGGCCATTTTAGTAATCAATAGCAAAAAGTTTTGGGAGGATATGAAGCCATTGGACCTCGGAAACGTACCCTCTCTCTACGAAAATGTGTTTGTTGTTGGATATCCTCGAGGTAAAATTGAGATTATCGTTTTTTTTAGTATAGGAAAATAAAAGAGTAATACCACTGAATGACCATGGTTTCGTTTTTTATATGTTTAGCCTTATTATTTCAATGTATTAATAGACGTATATGAAAAAAAAAATCTTTAAACGATATTTAAAATGAAATAGGAGGAATATATATTGATTTGTGTTATGTGCTCACTTGCAGGTGGTGACAACATTTCCATTACGAAAGGTGTTGTCTCTAGAGTTGAAGTTACAAACTATGCTCACAGCAGGGCTAAGCTAATGACAATACAAATAGATGCGGCTATCAATCCTGGAAATAGTGGTGGTCCAGTATTCAGGGAAAACAAAGTTGTTGGTGTAGCGTTTCAAGGTCTTTTATCTTCAGAGAATACAGGGTGAGTTGTAATTGTAGTAAAATCTTTGAACATTGTTGGAGGCAAGCTTACTAAAACTCTTTGGTGATTTTTATCTTTGTGGATTATCATGAGGTTCTAGGCTATATAGCCTCTAATCCATTCAAGCTCAGAACCATATATATCATGTAATATTAGTAATGTTCCAAACGTCACTCAATCTACATTTTTTGTGATTTTCATATGCAGCTACATTATTCCAACTCCCGTAGTTAACCGTTTCATAACTGGTGTTGAAGAAAATGGTCAATTCCCCGGGTTTTGCTCATTAGGTATTTGGTGTCAGCATATGGAGAACGCTCTAATCCGTAATTACTTCAAGATGACAACTAAAATGACAGGGGTTCTAATAAAAGCTGTAAACCCGTTGTCGAGTTCTTATAGTCTTCTGAAAAAAGATGACGTTCTTCTCTCAGTTGATGGCTCTTCAATAGGAAACGATGCGACAGGTAACATTTTTTACTATACTATATTTATTTAACTTTATTCAATCTGGATTCACGTTGGTGAAATATTCTACATGTTTATGTTTCTTTCCAGTTAATTTTCGGAAGAAAGAACGAATAAACTTCAATCATTTGGTTTCTATGAAGAAACCAGGTGAAGCAGTATCACTAAGAGTCTTAAGAGAGGGCAAACATCATGATTTTGCTATAATTACGAAACCCGTAAGTTCCATTTGTTACTTCTTTCTAAATTATTGTCTATGTGTTTTAGTTTAATCGTTGTTTCACACTTTGTGTTGTTATCTATTGTACTGATAGGTTTTGCTTATAGGAACGAAGAGATTGTATGAAGAAGTATGTATTAAGAATCACGAATTTACAGGAATGAAGAGCGAGATCTCATATAGATCCACTCACGAGTTCATCACACTCGTACCTCAGCTCACGCTTTGGTTTACAATTCTGTAATTCGATAAATGTAACAAACTTAACAACATTTCTTTTATACACAATCTTCTCGTCAACAAACTCCAATAACGGCCTGCCAACTCAGCTACCAGCTCAGCTTCATTCATTCACTCTCGCCAATTATATCCTTCTTCCTCTTTCGATAATATGTTCTGTGTAACGTATCAATACTCCCTCCGTCGAGACCCAGCTTGCCCTCAAGCTTGTAAAAAGGAAATTGGTGAATATAGTCACGATATGATACCCAAGAGGTTTCGTGATCCAACAAGTCCTGCCACTTCACCAAATATTCTAATCCACCCTTATCATCATAACGAGAGGCTAAAATATCTTCCGGAGTTAAAACCATATTCTCACAATCAGAAGCTTCCGATGGTAGAGTCTGAACCTCTTGGCCACTGCCTAACGCTGCCTTTAGCTGGGAAACATGAAACACCGGATGGATTCGCGCCTCCTCGGGAAGTTTTAAACGATACGCCACTTTTCCCACTCTCTCCAATATCTCATATGGTCCAAAGTACTTTGCCGCCAACTTCTGACAGAAACGTTTAACCACCGTCTGTTGTCTATACAGTTTAAGTTTCAGATACACATAAGAGCCCACTTCAAACTCCAGCTCTCGGCGGTGCTTGTCGGCCTGGTTCTTCATCAATGTTTGAGCATGTAACAAGTGAGCCTTGATGCGTGTTAGCATCACATCACGTTCGAGCAACGACTCCTCTAACTCAAAATTGTTTGTGGAGCCATCTTCAAAACGCACAATGGAAGGAGGCTCTCTGCCATAGACCACCTGAAATTGTGATGTCTTCAGGGCCGAATGAAATGACGTGTTGTACCATAGTTCTGCCCAAGTTAAGTATTTAAACCATGTTCGAGGATGTGCAAATGCATAACAACGAAGATATGTTTCCATGCATCTGTTCAAGACCTCTGTTTGACAATCTGTCTGCGGATGAAACGCAGTGCTGTACTTCAGCTTGATGCCAGCTAGTCGAAACAAGTCTTTCCAGAAACTGCTGAGAAAGATACGATCTTTATCTGATACAATCGATTTCGGAAAGCCATGTAAGCGGATTATCTCCTTCATAAACCTGTCTGCTACATCCACTGCAGTAAACGGGTGTTTCAAAGCTATGAAGTGGTCGTATTTGCTTAATCTGTCAATCACCACCATCACTACGTTGACGCCTTGCGAACTAGGTAAACCTTCAACAAATTCCATCGATATATCTTCCCACACCCTCTGTGGAATCGGTAATGGTTGTAGCAATCCAGCCGGTGAAAGAGTTGAATATTTATGGGTTTGACATATCCCACATTCGGCTATATAACGTTGTATCCATTTGTACAATCCTTCTCAGTGAAACATCCTTTGAATATGCTTGACAGTCTTCAAAACCCTTGAATGTCCTCCTGTCTGTCCATCATGACACTCATGTAATATCAATGGTATGAACGACGATGATTTTGGAATGACCCAACGTCGTTTATACCAAAGTTTTCCACTAATGATGTTGTAATGTGGATTCTCCACTTCTCCTTTCTGAATCCTCTGTATTTTCAGCAATCTCTGTATACAATTCTTCCAACTGAATTACTGAGGGTACCGTTACTGCCATCAACAATGCTGTGAGCTCACTGAACTGGTGTGATTCAATCCGGGATAAGCCATATGCTGCCTGATTCTCTTTCCCTGGCTTATACACAATCTCAAAATCAAATCCCAGTAACTTTGTTAGCCAACGCTGATATTCCATATTAACTTCCCTCTGCTCTAACAAATATTTGAGGCTTCTCTGATCTGTGTGTACCACAAATTTGCGTCCCAGTAAGTAATGTTTCCATTTGAGCATTGCCATTACAACTGCCATCAGTTCTCTCTCGTATGCTGGTTTCAACTGTTCACGACGTGTCAAACCGTGGCTGAAAAACGCAATAGGTTTCTTTTCCTGCATCAACACTGCCCCGACACCAAACCCTGATGCATCTGATTCTATGACAAACTGCTTATCAAAGTCAGGAAGAGCTAACACTGGTGTTGTAATCATCGCTTGTTTCAGTGTCAGAAATGCTTCTTGTGCTGTTGTAGACCACTGAAAACTGTCTTTCTTTAAAAGTTCTGTGAGAGGTCGAGTAATTATGCCGTATCTGCGTACATACTTCCTGTAATACCCTGTAAGTCCCAAAAATCTCCTGAGTTGTTTCACTGTTTTAGGCGTGGGCCACTCTTTCATTGCTCTTGTCTTTGATGAATCTGTAGCAACACCCTCCTTTCAAATAATATGACCCAGATATTCCACTTGTTGCAACCCGAAAGAGCACTTCTTCTTGTTTGCCAACAGCTTCTGTTCTGTAAACACTTTGAGAACCACTCGTAGATGCTCAACATGTTCCTCCAGCAATCTACTGTATACCAACACATCATCAAAAAAGACTAGGATGAACTTCCTTAGGTATGGTTTGAAAATTTTGTTCATCAATGCTTGAAAAATCTGGTGCATTGGTTAAGCCGAAAGGCATCACTAAAAATTCGTAGTGACCCTCTAATGTTCTGAAAGCTGTTTTAACAATGACTCTCTCCTCCATACCGATCTGGTGGTAGCCTGATCGTAAATCCAACTTGGAAAAGAATGTTGCTCCGTACAACTCATCGAGCAACTGGTCAATTACAGGAATCGAGAATTTATCAGGTATTGTAGCCTTGTTTAAGGCTCGGTAGTCCACACAAGATCGCCAGGACGAGTCTTTCTTTTTGACTAACAACACCAGACTTAAGAAAGAGCTGGTGCTAGGCCTGATGATTCTCGATTCAAGCATCTCAGAGACCATTTTTTCCATGACTACTTTCGTAGTATGTGGGTAACGGTATGGTCGGACTGAGATAGCTGTCATCCCCGGAGTCAAGTTTATTGCATGTTCTGAGCCTCTGTAAGGTGGTAAGCCTTTTGGTAATGCAAAAACATGGTCAAACTCTTCGAGAAGGTGATTAAGCGGTCCCTGAACTATTAGAGATGTCGGTGTTACCTCGCTACTAAGGTTTGAAAGCTCTCCTCTTCCTTTCACCTTAGTAGGCGAGATAGGAGACACGGACTTCATGGAGAACTTGGTATAGTGAATGGATAGATCGCCGAGTAATGTCACATGATTCCCTTCGTATATGAATGACAGCTCCTGTTTCTTCCAATCCACTTCACATTTACCTAAAGTCTCAAGCCATTGTACCCCTAAAATAACATCTACTGCTCCCAGTTCTAGCGATATAAAATCTGATGTGAATGTGACATTCGCAAGTTGGAACTTCAAACCGTTGCACAATCTTGTGCCTTTGACTATTCCACCATTTCCTAAAAGAATGTCGAGACTTGGATCTTCACAAACTTTCTGCTTCAGTCTCTTTACTACGTCGGGTGTTATAAAGTTGTGTGAGGCTCCACTGCCGAGCATGACAATCACGTCAGTTTCCTTGATTTGGCCATACAGCTTTGCTGTTTTGGGAGAGTGAATTCCCAAAAATGAATTCAGAGATAATGTTCTGAGTTCTGAGAATGAGTCTTCATATATCTCCTCTCGTTCACTCTCCTCATCTGTATCCAGCACTTCCATCTCCAATCCGTTGATTATTGTTATTATCCAGAGCTCTTTCTTTGGACAAACGTGAGCTCTTGTCCATCCTTTTGCACGACATTTAAAACAAATCTTGTCATTTCTTATTTTATCCAACTCTGCATCAGTGTAAACTTGTCTCGGTCTTGGTTCACTCTGCTTCAACTGAGTCTCCTGATTTCTGTTCCCCTGATTCTGATTCTGATGGTTTGTCAGCTGTCCGGTAGTACCCCCATTCTGATATACTCGATTGCCTCCATATCCTGTGTAGGATCCTTCTCTACGACCCCCATAAGCCTGTGATTTGTTTGTGAGCCATTGTTTCTTGGTCTCAGTCTGTGTATCTTCTCGAAACAACTTACAGAAATCACTGGATTTCATTGTCAGAACCACGGCAATGTGGTTATCAAGGCCCTTGGGTTCTTTCATTCTGATCACTTCCTTCATTTCTCTGTTCAATCCATTGTAGAATATCTTTGTCAGATTCTCATAGTCTAAACCAGGTACCAACTCTGATAGCTCTTCGAACTCTGACACATAATCTGCAATAGAACCTGTTTATTTGATTGAGAACAATCTTATCTCTGGATCCTCCTCAATAGACTCTGCAAACCGCTTTGTTAGTTTCTTCTTAAAGTCCTCCCAGTTACGAAAGCCGCTTCTGCTCATCTCCCACTTATACCATTTCTTAACTCTGCCTTCAATACTCAAAGCCACAAGTTCCAGCTTCTCCTCATCATCATACTGACCAATATCGAAGAAATTTTCCACGTCTTGGATCCACACATACGGAAGAAGTCCGGAGAACTTATGCATCTCGATTTTCTGCAGCATACTTTCTCTGTGCGCAAGATTCAATATCCCAGATCGATAACCTAGCGATTGTTTCCGGTTTTGTTCCAGATTAGAGTGGGATACCTGGTTTCGCGATCGAGTTGTTGTCGCCGGAGCTGTTCGTGGACGATTCTCTTTTTCTCGGCCACGTCCTTCGGATCTCTTGATGAATCGTACAATCGAATCGAGTTTATCATCCATTTTTGGACAATCGTTGCTCCGTTTGTTCGCACGCCTTGTTCAATCTCGTGTATCCGCCTTTTAGGAACGCCATATCCATCGATGATTCCGGAATCTCTCCATCGCCTCCTGAATCGCTTGGGGATGCCATTATTTCTTTCGACATCGGCATTGATTGCTCATTTTCGTTCGTCACCTTCGTCGATTGTGGAATCGCCGATTCTCTATCACCGCGTTTGATTCGCTCGCAGTTTCACCGCACCAATGATATGTTTTACTTATAGGAACGAAGAGATTGTATGAAGAAGTATGTATTGAGAATCACGAATTTACAGGAATGAAGAGCGAGATCTCATATCGATCCACTCACGAGTTCATCACACTCGTACCTCAGCTCACGCTTTGGTTTACAATTCTGTAATTCGATATATGTAACAAACTTAACAACATTTCTTTTATACACAATCTTCTCGTCAACAAACTCCAATAACGGCCTGCCAACTCATTCACTCTCGCCAATCATATCCTTCTTCCTCTTTCGATAATATGTTCTGTGTAATGTATCATGTACATATGAGGAATCACTGATTCCAGCTTATCAATTTGATAAACTTCCAAGTTATTACATACAAGCGGGTTTTGTCTTTTCGCCTCTCACTCAACCATACATTTACGCTGCTGGGAAATATGACAGTGTATTAAAACATAAGCCCAAAAAAGCCGGTGAACAGATCCTCGTCTTTTCTCAGGTATGTTTTTGAAATATCCACTAAATAAGTATTTTTGTATTTTTTTTTGTTCACGTCTTCCAAGACTTCCAATGAAAATGCTTTTAAACTTGGTACGACAATACCATTTTTTAAAATTTCGTCATGTTAATATATTGGACATGCTTTAATTAGAGGATAAGTTAGAGCTTGAATAGATATAACATTCATGCACTATACTTAAGGGAGTTTGTTTTTCTTTGGAGCAGGTGTTAGAGGATGATAACAGTGTAGGATACACTACTTTCAAAGATTCTAAGGTAACATCTGTTCTCAAATCATATGTTCTCAAACGATATAATAAACTATGAAATGATCTCTGCCCTATAGTTCCACACTCTTTAAGGTAGTTTTTCTTACTAAAGGAATCATATTTCTCAGGTTAAAAAAGTGAATGGAGTGCGAGTGGAGAATTTGAATCATCTACGTAAGCTCATAGAGGAATCCTGCACCGAGAATTTGAGGCTGGACTTAGAAGACGATGATACCATCATCATCATCAGTCACAAATCTGCGAAAAATGTCACTCCCAAAATTTTAAAACGTTACGGAATACCAATGGCCATGTCTAAGGACCTTCAATCTTTGTAGCGAACAAAAAAAAATGATTAGTTGTTTGGTTTCTTTTTCCTTGTTGCCAAGTCAAATGACATATAGGTTTTTACTTTATTATGTCTCTGGATTTGCTTTCTATCAATTTTTTAAAAAACAAAGAACAACACTTTTGATTTAGTGTGTAATTACATGACACAAACAAAAAATAGCAATACCTCTTTATCATCTTAGATAACTTTATGTAATTATGTTCTCTATGTAGATCAAAAATTCTTTTATGCTCTGCTACATTCAATACCACAATCTTTGCCTCCGGGTATCTTTGTGATAATTTCGCCAACCTACAAGATCATCTCACAACTTGTCAAGAATGTTCATCTACTTAATTTGGTGCTTCAACATTACCACACAGGTTTGCTGCCATCATGAGCCACTTGCGTACTAAAGCATCAACCAAGTGGTAAGTTTCTCACACAACAACTCTCCATCGCAGTTTAATACTATTAAGTGTCATTTGCTTTGATCGATGAATCATACTATAATCAACAGATGAGAGTTTGTTCTTGTTCTTAAGTGGGTTAATTTGTTACTATGTTACCAGAAACCTCTCCTCTCCATTACATGACCTTCTAAATATAATCAAGGTATTGTGCTTAAGAAGTTTCATACTTCTAGATAATCTGAAGAACACTCATGACCTTTACGAAATCAAATATCAGTTGTTTGATAATTTCCCTGCCAATTCAAGTTATTATCGACTTCCATACATTTATATAATCTAGCTAGAGAATTTCGGATGTAAAACCATTGGCATCTAGAGAATCTATTTCTGGTGCGATAAAATTAAAATTCAGAAGATATGGAACGAGAGAGAGTCTATCAAATACTTTGTGGTGGAGCTTTCAACTGATTTCTTTTCTTGGATTTTCAATTATGTTCATTGCATAACTCATTCACTTGTATCTTCTTGTCAACAAAAAGTTAATAGAAGATAGAGAGAGGTTGAGAGAAGTAGAGAGAGGGGAAGATGAAAAGCATAAACCGTAGAGGAAACAAAAAGAGAAACAGTAAGAACGTAGAAGAACCCAATGACAAAGAAGATTCAGTAGCAAGAATGAGAACAGCTAACTAAGCCTTGAGCTAGTAGAACCTAAAGGAAGATGTCTTGTCGTGAAATGAGGATAATGGGGAGCAAAGGTGATTCTAGGTTCCAGAAACAGGTAATCAGGATGCGACTATGATTATTATTGGAGACAAATCAAGGCTGTCAGGTGACCCACCAGATGGGACGAGTTCATGGGCATCCAAGTTCACAGGTACGAAGACTGGTGGTATGCTGGTTCTAGAGATGGTATTTGATGAGGAGTTTGTGTCAGAGTGTCTGCATGAGGATGGAGAGGTGCTGATCACGATAGAGAGTGAAATGTTAGATGTGATGAAAAGGTTATGGAAGCAGTGTATAATTATCAAAGTGTTAGGCCAGAACATTGAAATATCTGCTTTGAGTAGAAAACTAAGGGAGATTTGAAAGCCGAGAGGTGCCATGTATATGATAAACTTGTCTCGGCAGTTTTTCATGATTTGGTTCGAAGTGAAAGAGGAATATTTGGCAGCATTGACAAGAGGACCATGTAGAGCTTTTGGTAGTTATCTCATGGTGCGCCAAAGTTTGTAACATTAAGAGACGAGATCGTAACAGCACTAGTTTGGATTAACAAACATACCAGTGAATTTCTACCATGTATGTATCCCTATGGGAATAACTAGAGGTTTCAGAAAGCTTATTCGAGTGGATCTAACCACACTAAACTTCGAAAGAGCTAGATTTGCTCGAGTATGTATGGAGGTTAACCTTTCAAATCCTCTGAAAGATATAGTTTTATCAATGGTGAAATGTACTTTGTTTCTTATGAAGGTTTAATGAACATATATTTGAATTGTTGTATGTGTGGACATTTGGTCCACTAATGCCCGAGGATAAGCCCAACAAAAGAAGTGATAGCAGTACCGCAGAGGGGGGAACTGAGGCATCAAATGGATAGACAAAAGGAGATAATGGATTCACATTGGTTAAAAGACCAAGGAGACGGCTATACTCACCACAAGTCAGATGCTGTTGATGGCAGAGAACTACGAGGAAGATTTAAGAAAGAATCTAAAAAAAATCCCGAGGAATGAGGATACAGAGAATATTGCGATTTTAAACAAATTTGGGGATCTGGAAGAGGAGACGAGTATTTCAGACTTAAGACAAGACAAATATATCACGGAGACAAATAAGGAGAATGAAAATAACGTAAATATACATCGCAAAGGGAGGAGTGTTGGTCAAGGAACATGAAAAGCAGTTGAAGATAATTTGAAAAAGAGGAGGGAGTTCAAAAGTGGGCCAAAGGAGAACCGTGATGGAAGGATTAAGCCCACTGGTACAAACCACCCAAAAACCAAAAAGAATCTTAACATGTCCATGAGAGGGCTTGTGTTCGGCCCGACTAGGAAAGATATCGAGCTATCAGAATCGAGAAAGTGACTCAATGTGGAGAAAGAGAGCAGAGGGCAACCCAGAGGAGTTTTTTGGGAATGAATCAGGGAATTTGGGAATCAAGGTTTCAATTCAAACCCGAGCGGATGTGGAGGAGAGTACACCATTTGACTCAGAGATGAATCGAAGACAAGAGGAATCACTTAGGCTTCAAATCTGTTGGAGGAGGAGGGAGGCTCAAGAGCTGCATAACAAGGTGCCCCGGCTTTACTCTTGTCATCTTTTTTGGATATTTCTGATGAATTGTCTGTTCTGGAATTGTCAGGAGGCTAATAAACCCAAATTTCAAAAATTGATTCGATATATTTTGAAGAAGTATAAGACATATGTGCTTGCTGTTTTTAAGACGCACGCGGGAGGAGATAGAACAAAGCATATTTGTCATGGGTTAGGCTTTGAGAGTACGTTTATAGTGGATGTGATGGGACAAAGTGGGGTTCTGTGAATTTTATCGCGTACAGTTGTTGGGGATCTAAATATCATGGAGTAATCGGATCAATAAATCTATGCTAGAGTGCAGAATGTGATGGAAGCTATTCACTTGATTGTTCTCTTTGTGGCCCCGACAGTGAGTCAGTGAAGCGGGTTATGGGTTCAGCTTAGGCGAATAATCCATACTGTAGATGGACTATTAATAGTTGGTGAATATTTTAACACTATTGTTCGGCTAGATGAGAGAACATGATAGAATGGTAGACTCTCAACGGATTCACTAGCTTTTGGAAAGTGTATGAAGGGAGTTATCACTGTTTAATATATGGTTTAGAGGGAACACATTTACATGAAAAAGAGGGCGTATGGAGAATACTTATGTCGCAAAGAGACTCGACAAAATTTTGTGTTGTGCGCATATGCATTTAAAGTGGCAGGAAGTTTTGGTCACCCACTTACCATTCTTGTCATCTGGTCACACACCGCTTTACATATAGCTCGAGCGAGGTGACCCAAGAAGGAGACTGTTTCGTTTTGAAGCAGCTTGGATTAAGAACTCAGGTTTCAAAGAGATGCTTTTGACATCTTGGAATGCAGGATTGACAATGCCAGATGCCTTACAGGTGTTAAAAGGACCACTAACGAAGTGACATAGAGAAATGTTTGGAGTTGTCCAGTAAAGGAAGGAAAAGCTAGTTAAGGATATTTAGGATGTTCAAGACTTGTTGGCGGTTAGTCAAACGGATGAACTCTTCACTAAAGAGAAAACCTTGATTAGAGAATTTGATGTCATTCTAGAACAAGAAGAGGTACTTTGGTTCCAGAAGTCGAGGGAGAAGTTAATTGCATTAGATGATAGGAACACTAAGTATTTCCATATGTTAACTGTTGTAAGAAGGCAGTGGAATAAGATTGAAATGTTAAGAGAAGATGATGGGAGATGAGTTTAACAGCAACAAAAACTGGAACAATTGGCCCTAGATTATTACATAAGACTGTATTCAATGGAGGATGTTGATCAAGTCGTACATGTACTACCGCAGGAAGGCTTAATTAGACTTACCAAGGAGGAGTTTACGAACCTGAATAAGTCTTTCACAGCTATGGAAATGGAGAGCTCGATAAGGAGTATGGAAAAGTACAAAGCACCCGGTCTAGATGGGTTTCTACCGGTGTTTTACCAAGCTTGTTGGGGTGTTGTAGGGGAATTGGTGATCTGTTTTGCCTTGGAGTTTTTTACAACATGGAGCCTACCGAGTAGGACAGATGATGCACTTGTGGTCTTAATCGCGAAAGTATTGATGCCGGAAAAGATAACACAGTTTAGACTAATAAGCCTCTGTAATGTGTTATTTAAAACAATAACAAAGGCTATGGTGATGAGACTTAAGCGGGTGATACCAAAGCTAATTGGTCTTGCTCAAGCAAGTTTCATCCCGAGAAGGCTGAGCACAGACAACATTGTTATTGTGCAGGAAGCAGTTCTTTCGATGCATCGCATAAAGTTGGGAAAGGATGAATGCTATTGAAACTAGACCTTGAGAAGGCATTTGACCGGATTATATGGGACTTCTTGGAAGATACTCTTTGGACGGCTGGCCTACCAACTACATGGATTAGTTGGATTATGAAATATGTGGCAGGACCATCAATGAACATACTATGGGATGTAGAGAAATATAAACTTTTTAAATCTTTACAGGTCTTTGGCAAGGTGATCCACTGTCCTTGTATCTGTTTTTTTTTGTGTCTTGAGATACTATGTCACCTAATTGAGCACTAGATTGAGCTAAAAGAGTGGAAGCCAATCAGTCTATCATGTGGAGGCCTTAAACTATCACACATTTGCTTTGTGTATGGTCTAATTCTCTTTGCTGGAGCATCAGTAACTCAGATTCGGATGATAAAAAGAGTTTAAGAGAGATTTTGTACTGCTTCGGGACAGAAAGTCAGTTTAGAAAAGTCAAAAATCTTTTTTCTGAAAATGTCAACCGAGACTTGGAGAAATTGATCAGCGATGAGAGCAGAATCAAATTAACACTGGAGATGGAGAAATATT